AGATTGATGTAGAGTATTGTAAAGAATTTGGACATGCATGTCATCATATCCACAAAGTGATAAGAGTCCTAATTTTTTTTTACTTTTGTTTTTCTTGATTGTTTCTGAAATGTTTTCCTGCCTCTATGTCTTGCTGCATCAGTCTCACTTTTTTTCGTTTTACAGAGTTGTAGATAGTCATTGTTTCACAATTTGATAACTTTACCATACAATAGGTTGTACATTGTATATATATTTATTTATAAGATAAAGGGTTACTACATAACATTTATAATTGACAGTATATGGGATTTATATATTGATGAAAAATAAGAGACTATATCTCTAGAGATTTCATAAGTAATTAAAAACAAACTAAAGTTATTAGCTATAGATTTATAACTTCATACTTTACTGATAAACTATCAACCAATGCAATATTGTTGAAATTAAGAAAAGAACCATCTGTCGAAAAACAAAAAAACAAAAAACAAAAAAATCTGACCATTCATTTCCTCTAAATACATAAGCAAGGAATATTTCATGTTTCCTTTTTTAGGTCAATCTTTATGGTAAGGATGCATGAAGCTAGGGCAAATTGATGATATGTATCGTTGGTACAAGAAATAATATGCAGACTTGAACACAACAATTATTAAAGGTAAAAGATCACAGAAAGTCCAGTCAGTGAGAAGTGAAGACAATTATACCTGGGGGTTTTGGGGCGCAGAGCCCTCATTAACCCTCTCCTTGAACAGTGCCCGAAGGACATACCCAGTCACAGGAACTTAGATTTTGGAATAAATTTTGTGACATGGAGTTGGACTTATTATTGTGATAAGGATTATCATACTATTTATAAGTCTGAGGCATTTCACATTTTTCATTTCCCAGTAAGTATAGTTTACAAAATTTGGAAATATGTTAGTAGAATATTAATATTGTAAGAAAAATGATTATATTTAGCCGAAGACAAGTGCATCCAACTGTAAAGAGTTACAGCTTTTTATTTTCAATATTGTGAAGTTTGACTGTTTCAGTACAGGAGACACAACAATGATGTCTGATGTATATTAACAATATACGAAGGAGATTTATCATAAGTTAAACTCACTATCATGTCAGAATATTCTTGGTAGATTATTTTTGTCCTGAACATCATATCTCTGTGAGGAATGGTAGCATCTACAGTCAATGTCACCTTGTGGGTGACCAGATTGAAAGAATATCTCATAGTTTACATGTTGAGTTTACACAAGGCAAACAAAAAATTGTATCTTATACATTTAGTATTAATTTCTTGGACAATACCAGATTGCTGCTAAATTTTTGTTCAAGGTAATTCCACCCAAAAGTTGCACATTGCTGATATTAATGAATTCAATATTAAATGTATACTCTCCAGCTATAGTGACTTTAGTTACTCTACAGCCATTGAGAATAGTGACACTATTGGCAATAGTTAGAGAGGTCAATAAATCTGCTTTAGTCATTGCTTTACCAGGGGTTAACAGACTCCATGTTCTGGCAAGATAGAGGCTGTAGACTTCCTGGGTGATTTACTGTCAAATTTGAAACCAATCAGTCTTTTCTTGTCAGAATATATGTATTTGGGGGTTTTTTGCCAATGCCAGAATGCCTCCAACCTCCACATGGTAGTCATAGCATCCTAGAGCTTTCAAATTTTAGTGTTTGCATGGTATTATTTTAATTTTTTATTTGTACTTTTTTTATGTTTACCTCACATTTTTTTTTGGTAAATTTCATTCTTTCTTATTCATAGGGGTGATCATCATCAACTTTTGGGACATTGTGGTTTCCAATGCAAGACTTTTGTATAGAATTATTTAGGTAAATTAGCCTCTTGGTTCTGGATAACATGACATACATGCCATGTCCACTGTATTTTTTTTCTATTCCTAATTGTTGTTAACCTGTTGGATCTGGGTGCTTTGCAGCCCACATATAGAAAAGAACTTGGCATCAGGCTTTCTTGAATGGCAACTCTTCCAGACTGACCCACACAAACAGTTGACTGTTGTCATTGAAGAGACTCCATATTCTACAACCCTATGCACCAGCAATATATATATTTTTTTCTTTTTTTTTTATAATCAATTTTCAGTTACACACTGTGCCACTGGTCAGTGGGTGTGAATAGGAACCTGAACATAGAAATAGTATCCTCCCTTTAGCTGGCACATTCCACTCATTCTGGTCCTCAGCCAAAATTTTCTGTGATGGTATATTTCCAGTCACCTGCCCCCATGGTACTTGAATCCAATGGGATGATATTTGAATAACATTATGAAATTTATAATGGAAATGATGTGTTCACTGTAGTAGTGTTTTGTGAAATGTCTCTTGTGACCTCACCTGATTTCATCTTTTCTTGAGTTTGCAGAAGAAATGCTTTTTCTCTAATGACATCAATATTGATGCTCTTATTTTTATTATGGACTTTGTGATCATATAGTGTTAATACCATTACTATCAGCAATATTAGATACCACAAACTATTTAAAAAAACAAAGCAGGTGAGACAGGTAGTACTTGTAAGTGGCTCATTGGTGACTTAGGACTTGGTGCCATTTATGTGTAAAAACATTTGATAAATTAAACTTGCAATGAGCATGGCATGTACATACATACCTTCCCCGGTGGCTTTGGGTTAATATGCAGATATCAGGAATCCAAATATACATGGAGGAGGTTTGCTGGCCATAGTGTTGCACAGTGCAGCTTTGTTCTAGACAATTACCAAGCATTATTTATTTTATTAATGCATCAACATGTGCAACACCTTCAATTGTGTCTATTGTGCCAAACAAGAACTAAAAGGGAAGAATAATATAAAGTAATTGAAAGAAAATAAGCAAAACCAGATTGCGAGACTGGATCACCAAAGTCTCTGCAATTGTTGTGCCATTCTTAAGTTGTTCACTTTGCTGTTCAAAATTGCAAACCTCCCAAAAGAGTGAGAAACCATGTGTCTTTCTACATGGGAATAAGTAACATAAATAGTTGAGAAGCAATCATGAATGCTTAAATGATAGGTTTCTTTGAGGCAGGATATGAAAAGCCTCATTTAGGGACATTGTGAAATTCATGAAGTTTATCTAACTTGCGTAGCCTACATCATACTAAAATAACCAAAGCAACAGTATTGCCTAACAGTTCCATTACTGAAGGATTGCTTATGATGTTTACTTACTATTGATAGTTTAATTTAATGCTGACCAATCAGTGTGACTGTTTATTCAAGTATTATAGTAAATCATGCAGTACGGTTTGGCAGATATTTGTGCAAAAGCAACGCACATAGGAACTAAGTTCAAAATTATCCAAAAGCATAAGGGGACATAAGGATATAAGGCAAAACCACATGTGGGTCTTCTGTGGTTTAATGTTTTGGTGTCATTAGGAATATAAGTGATGTAGTCAATAGACCGGGCCAGTTAAATCACACACAAAACGCAAGCTATGGCTGGAGCAGCAGATTGTCCACACACTTCATATTAGAATGGTGGGCCTTGTGTAGCCAGCTGGCATCATGTTTGACACCCCAACTTAATTCATTTTCATTTAGTTTGATTTATGTTTTACACTTGAAATTTACTTACAGATGGCTGCTGCAGGATTTTATTACATTGGTAGTAAAAAGGAGCCTGACCTCGTCCGTTGCTTTGTGTGCTTGAAAGAGCTGGATGGATGGGAGGTAGATGATGACCCCTGGTAAGGAGATTTTAAAGTTCTCCCACATGAAAAGATATTGCCTGTAGATTGTATCGACAGTTTGTTATTTAAGATTATCTGATTAAAGAATTGTCATAGACTGTTCATTTATTTTAGATATGATTTATAATTAGGATATAGCATTCAGTATATTTGAGATATACAGTAAACATAATGTAAACTGGAATATTTGTTTTACCAAAGCCATTCACAACTTTCTTCTGGGAAGGTGGCTTGTGTCTTTTCCCTTATGCCTAGTTTTCCATAACAGATAGGTGAGATAAGGGGAATAAGAATAAAAGAGTAGACTAATAAATTTTTAAAAATGTAAGACAAAAATGATTGTTGACAGGGAGGAGCACAAAAACCATGCATCATATTGCCAGTTCATCCAACTTAACAAGGCAGAGAGTGAGATTACTTTTGAAGAGATGCATGACTTGGAAATGCAGCGACAGATTAATATGGCTGTAAGTAATCTTTACCAGAGTTTGTAGCTATACAAGTTAAAAGTTTATTTTCTCTACCATAGTTTTCTTATATAAGGAACCCCCAATCCCTTGCCCATTATTGTGGGGGAGCTTAGGAGGCGAGGACTGGGGCCCAATGCTAGGGCTCTCCCCTGCCTTGGGCTTCAGCCCTTGACTCAACTAATTTTGCATTGTCTTATCCCCTCCTGCTTTTTTGTTTCCCTCAATGCCTACTAGTACATTATCCACCCAAGTCAACACTCAATCTCCAGGAGACCTTCCTACTCTCTCAACATTCTCAACTTCATCCCCTCTACCTTCACAATCTTCTTCATCAATCACCCCATCCTCCCTTATTACTACTTTACAGCTACCTCTTCATAATACTACCTTCCTCAACACTACTTCCTCTTCCACATGTTCTTCTACCACCCCCATTTCTACAAATATCTTAAATACTATATTTTGCATAGCCAAATGGGACCGATTTTTTGTGATTCCCCCACAGCTCCTTACTCTGGCAACACTCTTCTCTTCCAGCAATGCCTTTAAAAACAAGTAGGCAAAGAGTCTTTCTGTAGCCAATCCAATACTTCCCGTCTCGTTACAGTTACATCTGAAAACAAAGCTGTAGCATTATCAACTCTAACTGATCATTCTGGCAACCCCATTCCTGCAGAACCTCATTCAACCCACAATACTTGCCCCTTCCCCTCCTTCCCAAGATGTTCCTACACCCTACTGTATACTTATCCCTCTTACATCTTACTTCCCCACTCCTACCTTTCTCAGTCAAATTCTTTTGCCATTCTAATTCCAGGCACTCCAATCTCTACTGCAGCCCCAACATCTTGCCCTTTCCCTCCCCACATTACCCACAGCAGACAAACTAAACGTTCCACCCCATCCTCTCCTACCACACACTCACCTCCACCTACCTTTGCATCTGCTCCTCAGACACCAGCCTCCTCTTCCCCCCCAACCCTCATAAAAAAATCTTTGTCACACAAAACTCCTCAATCAACTCCAATACAGAAACTTTTGAAGATATTCAAAACAATCTGCTCAAGACCCAAATTAACACCGAAACCCCTCATCCACCCTCAAATTCCACAACTCCCGCTCCCTCTAAACTCAAAGTGACTGCCAGTATCCATCTTCCTCCTACTCATATTCACCCTACACACCTTCCTTCTACTTCCTCCCTTATTTCACAACTATACCCTTCTCCAGATCCACCACCTCCTGATGCTACACCACCTCCCCCCCCCCCCCTCTCATTCCTTATCTGACCCCTAGCTCCTTGTAAAGGGTTCTAGAAAGACCTCTAAACATTGGTGACAGGGAGTAGTAAAAGCTTGGGTGGCTTAAAAACCCTGTATTGATAAGAATTCAGCACACGGATTAATAACACAAAAATGACGAGTCTTGGGTTATGGGCTGGTCACCTGAGGTCACCGGCAAGCAGGTGTGACCTCGACCGACCCGCGGCACACTCTGGTCTGACAGGGGTCACCGGCGAGCCCACCTCAACGGCAGACCTGCCCAGCGGGCTGTTGTGACCTTGACTGCGCCGGGTCACACTCTCACTGCGTGACTGGTCAAGCGTGGTCCCTTATATCCAATGAGGGCTTGGAGGGGGGGCAAGGAGGACCACCCATCCGTTAGGGCACGCCGCTTGGGTTTGCCTCGCGTGGGCGCCACATGCTACTGCGAGCATCCACGTGGGCATATAATACTGATATGTATATTGCTCGGCCACCTACTCACGGCTCGTCCTCGAGGCGATCTGGACTTCCTCAAGGGTGACCCAACCTGGCTGGTCCTAACTTGCTGGTCCTCGATCTCGAGTGCGGTATCCTTGGTGCATCCCCGTGGCTGCTCGTTCTGTGTCGTCATCCTCGCTCTGGTCCCTGGGAATCTGTTCGTCCTCGATATCCACACATCCTCGACTGGTCTAGCGCAGGTCCTCGCCCAGACATCCTTGTAGTCCGCGTCAAGGTTTAACTCGGCAGCTTACTCGCCCAATGCACGTCTCGCAGATCTCCGTGCAGGTCCTTCTTGGCTGCGCGCTCGTACAGACGTCCTCGTAATCATCGTCAGGATCTACGGGCGTCCGTCAGGAAGCGTCCTCTTCGACATCGTAGGGCGGCTGATACCTGCACTAATTAGCTCCTGGAGCTTGACTGGGTCTGCGGCATCCAGGCAGGCGCCCGTCCACAGCATCATAGGACAGCAAACCCCTCCTGGTGAGCTCCTGTTTTCGCTGGATCTCGGGTGTCCTGGCGAGTGGCGATCTCCGATGACGTTTTCTAATAGCTTCCAAAGGTGATCATTTCTGCAGCAGGAGTGACCTCCTATAGCAGTAGTGTTGCCAACACGCTGAATAAAGTTCATTTTAACAATAATGTGACTAATTATTTATATGACGTAAATCAAAATTATTTCAAGTACCACATTGAATTTAACATTTAATGATATGCGACAAAATGACGCATTAATGAATGGTGATGTGAAAATTATTCACAAGCCTCTTCGCGAGCAAATCTCAGGGATTTTCCCAAGGAAGCAGGTGTCTTTACTGATCATGCAGACTTCACTTGACGGGGGGACGTCCCCAAAAATTCCGTATTTTATGAAGCTTAAACGAGCTGGGAAAATCTATAAATTACCCACTCTGCGGATCTATGATGGGCACTCATGAAATGCCCTACAGGGATTTATCATGAATCACAAACCGATGGGATCTACCCATCATGACGGCAACATGTAAAAGTGTGAGTGGGTTGTGATTAATTAAGTGGATCCTAAATCAGACTTAAATCCTACTCCTAAATTAATGGACATAATTGCAGTCACCCTGGCTCAAAGTTTGCCGAACGTATGATTTACTTCAGTTACCCTAACCTACTCTCATACGTGAGTCATTACGCATAATTGCAACCTTACAATGAGGATACCTCTTGGCGTTATATTTAATTATACAAGTTGCGTTACAAGTTCCGTTCTAGCGCCGATAGAATGTGTCACCAATGAACATGTAACGGTTGCTCTGCATTATCCCTACATTGTGATAATTATTGAAAACAATAAAAAGGGAATTGGCAAGCTGTTTTCTCCACCATTATCGTGTCAATCACTCCTAGTGAAAGTCAGGTCAGGCCGCCCCAGCTATTTGAAGAATGACCATCAGGTGAGGTCAGGGCACGACAGCTGTCCCCAAGTGGCCTTTGATTAATGACTTTCAGGTGAGGTCAGGTCAAGACAAGAAATGGAGAGAGAAGAATTTAATGAGTGAATATTCGTGAAGGAATAAATTCACGAACGCGCTAAATTTGATACAATTGAAACAATATAATTTAATCACGAAAAAAATTAAATAGACACTTAATAAATGAACGATTTCATAATGTTTGGCTTCATACTCTATTACACAGTAATGAGGTGTGAGGTCAAGAAAATGAGATGAGAATGAGAGCAAGCCATTGCTGTAATTAGCACTTTAACCAAAAAAAACTAACGTGAGCCGGCTGTGCACGGCCTAACACATTTAGGGAAAAATAGAAAAGAAATGAAAAGAGGGGCCCAAATGTGTACTCGCGGTTTGAAGATGTCATCTTTGTTTGTTTAAAGCCGAGCGTTTTTTCTTCGGAGAAGCTTGTCCGGTTGCGCCGAAAGGGCACAACGGCCACCGCCTGCCACCTGGTGACAGGGAGTAGTAAAAGCTTGGGTGGCTTAAAAACCCTTTATTAATAAGAGTTCAGCACATGGATTGATAACACAAAAATGACGAGTCTTGGGTTATGGGCTGGTCACCTGAGGTCAACGGCAAGCCCAGCCCAGCGGGCAGGTGTGACCTCGACCAACCTGCAGCACGCTCTGGTCTGACAGGGGTCACCGGCGAGCCCACCTCAACGGCAGACCAGCCCAGTGGGCTGTTGTGACCTTGACCACGCCGGGTCACACTCTCACTGCCTGACCGGTCAAGCGTGGTCCCTTATATCCGATGAGGGCTTGGAGGGGGGGCAAGGAGGACCGCGGATCCGTTGGGGCACACTGCTTGGATTTGCCTCGCGTGGGCACCACATGCTACTGCGAGCATCCACGTGGGCATATAATACCGATATAATACACAGTATACTCCTTCCCCTTCAAATTCTCCAACATGCACTGTAACCATTATCACTCCTAGATCAACTAAAGGGGGTTTTACACGGTCAAACATGTTGGCCAACACGCTTGACAACATGACGTTTGAGAGAATGTTTGAACGTGTGAAAGGGGTAAACATGTTTGACCAACGTGTTGGACGGATGTCTGACGGGGCCTGACTTTTGTGAGCGGAGCTTGCTCGGTGCATGTCCATGTTTGAACGTGTGAACGGTCATCAGCCTTCAACCGTCATACATACTCAAATCTCGCCGAGGTAACATCTGTAAACATCTCCTTCAGTGACAGGCGTAGTGTATCAGCTGCAAAATGAGTGACACGTGTGCCCTTAAGGATAAGGAAAGGGAAGTAATGGTGGATTTCATTGATATATACAGGAAGCATGTGGCTTTGTGGAAGGTGAAATCAAAAGAATACTCAAACAGGAATTTAAGAAATAAGGGTATAGATGAACTGCATGGAAAGCTACAAGAACTTGACCCACATTGTACGCGGGATGATGTGATGAAAAAAATAAATTCTCTCCGTAGTTCATTTAGAAGAGAATTTCGAAAGCATGAGAGCTCTAAAAAGTCTGGAAATGCAACTGATGACATCTACACGCCCACTCTCTGGTATTTTGAAGACATGATGTTCATATGTGATCAAGAGATGCCACGAGAGAGTACATCAAATATGGAATCTGTTAATGAAGAGGTGAGTTGCAAGGATTTGCCCAAAACTGGATAACAAGTAACCTTCAGAATCAGAGTGGCCGTTTATTTATTCGTTTTTTTATTGGCTATGCATAGATGACTTTATTCAGTTTCATGGGTGCTTTCATATAATCTGTAGGTTGTAAAATGTATCTCCTGACTTCTCTGGTATATTAACTGAAGTTTCAGACAATTTTGTATTATGAATCATCATTTCATTAAGAATCCAACATGTCAATCTGGATCTGAAGGCTAAACTTGAGCCAGCCATTTGAATAATGAATCAATTAAACTTATCATAACCATTGTATTCATTTATTTTGAAAAAAAATATTACAGCACACTATTTAAGCCAATTCCAATCAGACTGTATAGTTTGAGTTTGAAGGTGTAGACTAGCCTTTCCTATTTTCATGATTTATATGAAGTCTTTTTGCCATGCTACTGCACCGGCATTCACAAAGTAATCCTTAAATCTATCTCTTACTACCTTTGCAATTTCAGGATAGTTTCGTGATCCCTGACCGTGTTGCAAACCTGCTAAATAATTAGGATCTGCAGTTAAGCCTGGCAAAATAATTTTGCGCATTCTATCCTCCCTATGGAAGCAGTCCTCTGGGGAATAGTCTGAAGGGCATGCTTTCCGCAAATAGTTATGTAGCACAACACATGCCATGACAACTTTGTCAATACTTGTCAATTTGAGATTTATACAAGTGTGGAAAATTCTAAACCTGGAAGCCATAATGCCGAAGGCATTTTCTGCCACTCTCCGTGCCCTTGACAGCCTGTAGTTGAATACTCGCTTCTCCTCACTATGTAGGTCCTTTTGAGAATAAGGTTTCAAGAAATCTGTCCTTAATGCAAAGGCCTCATCTCCCACGAATACATATGGCAAAACACAATTTGAAGTAGCTGTTACTGACTCATGTGGGATGCAGAGCTTTTCATCTTTGAGTCGCTTACCAAATTCTGTATTATCAATGACTCCTCCATCTGATACGCGACCATTAGTTCCAATGTCTGCCATAATGAATTCGTAGTTCGCATTTACAACTGCCATTAACACAAGACTGTTGTATCCTTTGTAATTCCAATAATAAGACCCTGATTCTGATGGCGGCGTTATCCATACATGCTTTCCATCAACAGCACCGAGACAGTGGGGAAAATTCCATCTAAACTCGAACTGTTCTCCAACAGTCTTCCACTCCTTTTCTGTTGCCGGAAACTGAAACAGATAAAAGATACAAGGCTATTAGAGAGAGAGCGAGAGAGAGAGAGACTTGCACTATATTTATAGGTGTTCTCCTTTCTAGAGTGTTGCTGAGCCACCAGCTGATGATGAAATACCTTCATGCAGCAATGCTCCTGTAGTGAAACTGGAGCAGGGGAAACACTACAAAGGCAGATCACATTTTAAACCTGGTCGCTCGTAACTTAGAAGAGAGATCTGAGAGACATGATACTCCTAATGAGACATTTGGGAAGTACGTAGGCCAAGCACTCGACTCCCTGGACAAGAAAACAGCAGGCTGTGCTAGGAAACTGATAAATGATGTGCTTTTTGAAGCAGAGAATGGGAATTTGTCTGCCTATTCTAAAATTGTAACAAACACATACCATTCACATGAATCATTTGCAACACCAGTACCACAGTCGTCAAGTTCCTTTCATGTAAGCGATAATTCTGATAGTGATTCCAATATGTCACACTATTTTGCCAATTTTCAGCCCTTGTAACAATTTCATATGTGTCTGGCAATCAAAGAGTGAGATATAAAGGGTTATAATTTTGGATTGATTTGGGTTTTGTCCTTTCGCTTGACACTGTGGTTAGAAAGCATAGCACATTTCAACAGAAGGTTTCAGTATTTTTCACATACTATTACTATGTACTGATTTTCCTCAATAAATGCACATTACATATTGCATATCATAACCCACCTTTAAATAATCCTTCTTGAGTACTTTGTAGATGGCAACACAAGTTTCTGGTATAATCTTGGATAAGGTGCTAGTTCCCATTACAGCTGAAAATCTCAAGTCTTGCAGTGATCGGCCTGTTGCTAAGAAACGCAGTGTTGCGATCAGCCGTTCATGAGGGCTAATGGACTTCCTCATTACGGTGTCTTTACATGTAATGAATGGAGTGACCATATTCAAAAGTTGTAAATATGTTGATTCATCCATGCGCATATAATTGCGCCATTCAGTCTGGGTCTAATTTCAGCTCTTTCATTAAGTTGGTATGTGAAAGTTGGTCCCTTTTCAGCAACCAGTCCTTTGTCCACTTTGAACGCTTCCTTTTCTTTTCGTTGAGGGCAATCACTATCCCGACTGCCATCACCTCGTCTGTGGTAAGTGACATGTTGCTCCTTCTCCTTTTGGCACCGACTGAGGTTGTCTGTCAGTTTGGTTTGAACGAGTAAACACTCTTCAAACATGTTGTGTTGGAGGTTTGATGAGCGTGTTGGCCAACATGTTTGACCGTGTAAAACCCCCTTAAAGTATAGCTCTCCTACATTGGAATATTTGCAGTTTCTGTTCTCCCTGACCTGACCTTCATCATATCCTTTCTTCTTATAATCCATCCATTATATGCCCCCAAGAGACTTTCCTTACACATCCTCCCATACCAATTCTCAATTATCAGCTTGTCTCTTCCTCACACTCCTTTTCTGTCTCATCTATACTTATCCATCAGAAAAACACCTTATGTCATACCTCCCTTTGAAACCACTGTCCCATGCATAGTTATTTGCATCTTTCTTTGCCGTTGGATCATAGTTATTTCAGTCTAATTCTCCCCTTCCCACCCCATTGACTTTGTTGCCTTTGAAACTCTAATTTGCCAACTCCAATCACCTTTCCTCATAGTAGGTGATTTTAACTGCCGCCACACTCTTTGGGGTGATTCTATCACCAATTCCTGTGGCTGATCCCTAGAATGCTTCCTCTCCACAACTTGACTTTATTCATAATTCAGATTGCGCTACACATTTTGACATGCACACACATCGTTTTCCTTGACCTCTATGCTCCCCTTCTCTCCATTTAAATTTCCATTGGTCAGTTCTAGACCACTTTCCCTAGAGTGCCTATTTTCCAGTCCTCCTTTCTTCTACTTCATATGTACTCCATTTCACAGCTACAGTCCTAAGAGCTGCCTTTACAGCTATACCTCAAATGTGGAACCCCTAATCAACTATCAGACCTTATCGACTTTAAAAGAGCCTCCACCCGTCTTTGTTGTACAATCTGGAAAAGTAAAGCAAAGAGCTGGCAAAATTATGTTTCCTCAATTACATCTACATCAATTTCAGCTGTTTGACGTCTGATCCATAAACTATCAGGCAAACATCCCCCCATTCAGCTCCTGTCCTCCATATTTGAGATACTCTCATTTCTGACCCTCTCCAAGTCACTAATGAAATAGGTGACTATTTCA